ATCAGGCAGCAATTGTTGCACTTATGGCTACTGCACATGTTGCATTGAGAGGCCTTAACATGGCCCTTTGAGGTCTAAGCTAAGTCCCTGGCTTTAGCAGCACTGGTAGGTATTGCACTGAGCAAAAGGAAGTGCCTATAGGAAGGGAAGAAACCAGGCCAACTCTTTTTTTTTTTTTTTTTCCTTCACACTCTAGGGACTGTGGGTTTCTTCCCAGACTGTTCACACCAAGGGAAGCTGGTCCCAGGAGAGATTCTGTGGCATCTGCTTCACTATCTTTTTATGATCCACCAGTCACCTGGGCAGAGAGGGGAGAGGGAAGTAGTTGCCGGACACCCTACCTAGGGGAGCATGGCTTTCTCCTTACCTGCCTAAAGCTTTCTCCCGGTGAGAGTGGGAGCCATGAGTTATTTCCCTTTCCACACCCCCAATGAAAGGTTTGTTTTTGCTCACCAAGAAAGGTGGTGAGAGGGGAGGTTTGTAAAGGAGCTGTCATCCAGCTGTCTTTTATGGCCTCAGCAGTTAGGAGGGGTTGGGGCTCAGGTGTCTGGCATTTGCTGGTTTTTACTTACAGGAAGCTCACTGCCCTTCATTTCTCAGATACCCAATTTGGATTCACTTCATAGTTAAGGTATTGGGGGTGGGGAAAAGTTGGGGAACAGCCATTCTGAGCAGGCTCAGGGCACATCCATACTGGGAAAAGCCCACATTGGAGTGTGAGGTAGAAGACAGATGGTGACCATGTGATGGGGGTTTTGCAGAAGTGGGACTGCCACAGTAGTGGGGTTGGGATGGAGTTGGGTTTGCTCTGCATTATATTAAATGTGTGTGAGGTCCTTCCACTTGGCGATGCCTGTGCTGAGGTTACTGACTGGAGGAGACTGTTCCTGTAGCAGCAGTGGGGTCTGATTGAGAGCATGTATGAGTCTGAACATGACAGCTAGTGTGCGCAGTTCAGCCTCATGGTGGCTTACTGCATGATAGGTGGGCTGGAAGCTCCAGGCCCAGGTTGTAAGTAACCTCTACCCTGTGGCACGAGGCATGCCTGGGAGAAGCTGGCCTTGTTCTGCCTCTCCGCCCTGCTGCCCACCCTTCATCACTGTAGTGACATGGAATGTTAGTTCGTAGGAATAAATTCCTTCTGATCAGATAGACACAAACTAGCAATCTGTACAAACACAAAAGAATCCATTTTCAGAAAAATAAATTACTAAGGGTAGAGGAGGAGGAGGGTCCATTTTGTTTTTTCTCAATAAATACGCAATTCTGCTCACCTAAGACTTGAAAGGTAATTATCTGGGGATGGGATTCTAACGTCAGGGTCCACGAAGGTTATTCTAAACACGGCCGCAGCTCCCACGCTCCCTGTCAAGAAAGTTCAAACCCCCTCCAAAGCTGCCCGTTTGGCTTCTTCCAAGCAGGTAAGTGCACCTGTGTGGTGAGATTCAAAACAAATAAAAAGTGTCCTTGTGCCCAAAGTCCCAGGTGCTTGGAGTGTGTGTAGAAACAGCTCTTTTAGGTTCCACCCATTTTTTTTCTTTAAATAAAATGTACCAGCTAGAGGGGAAAGAGGACACCAGGTCCTCAGCTGGGGGCAGCCCCTTTCTCTAGGGTGGAAATTGTCATGTGACATAGGAGCTCTCCGGGCGCTGGGGCGTCAGTTTTGCTGCAATATGAGGTTTTCCAGTTCATCTGCAGACCTCAGGAGAAAGGCGGCAGACTCTCGGTAGCCAGCGATGAGCTGCCGCACTGCACTGATCTCCGTGGGGCTGAGCTGGGCGGTGGCCATGCCCCGGCTGGTGCTGTTGCTGGAAGAGGAGGAAGAGGAGGTGGTGGTGGTGGTAGTGGTAGTGGTTGTGGTGGTGGAGGCAGCCCCACCTTTCATGCTGAGATCTGTAGGACCTGTGGAAGGCATGACAAACCAGAATTAGCAAGCGAGGAGGCTGATGTCCACCAAGTGGAGATGCCCTTGAGGCACGAAATGAGTACAAATCTGCCTCTACTTCTACTTTGCTCAATGCCCTTAGCCAAATCACTTCCTTTCCCAAGGCTGTAGTTTCCCCTTTGTAAAGTGTGTGTGTAGCAGGAGTGGGGGGAGAGGTGAAGGGGTAGATGGATTTGGGGTCTCAAGGTTCCGCTTGGCTCTGGCATCCAAAGACATTATGATATAATAGAGTTTGGCAATGACCTAGGTTCACATCCTACTTTTACCATGCTAGAAAGGCCAATCTCTGAGACTTGGTTTCTTCATCTACAAAATTAGGCTATTCACACTAATCTCACAGGCTTGTGAGGGCACTCTTTGTAAATCAGAGTAATTTTATATATGTATATATGTGTGTGTTTATATATATATATATATATACACATATAGAAATATATTTATTTATATGTACACAGAGAGAGAGAGAGACAGAGCACCCAGAGAGGAAGAGGTGAGCTGGTGGTGACCTGTGTCCTACATTATACAATCTGTTTAGGCTCTGCTTAGCTATTCACCTGTTCCATGTCCCTGGGAGAAGATAAACTCCTTGAGGGCAGGAACAGGTTTTTTATGTTTGTCTCTGTAGTCTTAGTACTTAGCACATTTCCTTGCACATAGCAAGCTTATTAATAAATGCTCATTGAATTATATTCTGATTTCAACCTGGGGGAGTGGGAGGACCAGTCATTACAAAATTATTCCTTTGCTTCTATACTGTTACTCCCTGGTCCTTCAAAATTGGTGACAAGTGACCCTTCTATATCTCTGTACTATTGCCACCAACCAGAAATACCTTACCAGACCGAAGCTGGACATTTCCCTTTTTTCCTCTAGTGTACTATCAAGGTTGAGTTTTTTAGTTTAGTTTTTTTTTTTAAACCAGGACCTTTACTAGCACTTAGGGGAAATTGATCTAAAACACTGTTGTTGAGTTGTTTCAGTCATGTCTGACTCTTCATGACCCCATTTGGGGTTTTCTTGGCAGAGATACTGCAGTGGTTTGCCATTTCCTTCTCCAGCTCATTTTGCAGATGAGGAAACTGAAGCAAACAGGGTGAAGTGACTTGCCCAGGGTCACACAGCTATTGTCTGAGGCTGAATTTGAACTCAGGAAGATGAGTCTTCCTGATTCCAAGTCCAGTGCTCTATCCATTTCACCACCCAACAGTACAGGTTGTTATTATGGAGCCTGTGAATACAGACCCGAGATATCCCTTAGGTCATCGAGGCCAATAGAAGCTTTGGGGCTAAATAGCCTCCCCACTCCTAGTTACCTTGCTTCTACATTCTTGACTACCATACACAGACTTTCCATCTTGCCTTTGGCATCCTCTCCCTGGACATGCATTGACCCAAATCTAAGGCTGTCCTGTTCAGAACTGATCACCCTCTTGGGTCTTCTCAGCAACCACCATGGTCATTATTTCTGCCCTAATTCTACCTTGTTTGCAGGGGTCCGGTCAAGAAGCCTGATCATCACTAATGTTAAGGGCTACAGTCCTACCCATTTGCAGTTCCCACCACAAGCAGAGATCATTTCTTCCCAGTTGCTCTGACTCAAATTTGACTGGGCTGTGCTTTCATGTGTGTTAGCTGGCATAAAGCATAGTAAGGGGAACACTAACATCTTGCCTCTATCCCTTGCAATTCTGGCAAAAAGTATAGATTCTGACCCTGAAGTTAAGGAGAAATAGCAATGCCATTAAACTCTTGTTTTGGTAGAAGGTCTCCTGATTTGACCAAGAGTTCAAAGAATCATTGCTGTTGACAGTTGATGGATTCTCCGTCAGATGGGAGAGCTTCTAAAGCATAGCATATTAGCATTGGAAGGGACTCTCAGAACATAGGCTGTCCTGGCAAAGAACCTTACAGACCATCTAGGCCAGAGGTGCCAAACTAATGTAATTGGAAAATGTTTAACAAAGGAAAAATATAATAAAATATAGATAATGTTAATTTGTGGTTTTCTAAGTCAGTAGGCTGCTTGTTTCTGTTTGAGTTTGACACCACTGATCTAGGCCGATATCCTGATTTTACAGAGAAGGAAACAAACCAGAGAGAAAGTGACTTACAGGTGACTGTCCAGTGATCTCACCCACATTCTATACCAGCTCTCAACATCTTAGTTTTTACTCCCCATTGTAATAAGTACATGTCAAACCATGCCCCAAACTTTGTTTGCTGAATCTGTTTCTTCCTCCAACTGCCTCCCTATCCCAACTCCACCCCAGACCTAAGCTGAGCTAAGCTAAGCTGATCAAGTTTTCTAGCATTTACACAGAACCAACCCTGTGAACCCTTCCCCCCCCACCAAAGACTGACACGTAGGCAGGGATACTTGATTGGAATAACCCATTTCTTCTTTCTCAAGGGAAATTAAGACTATGTGAGCCACCAGCCCATGTGCAGGCAAAGAGTACTGAATTCAGCCCCAGGAGACCTGGGTTCCAATCATACCTCTTAGATAAAAGTCACTTCCCTGTGTCCCATAAAATGAGGCACCTGGACTAGCTAAGCTTCAAGGTCCTTTTCAACTCTAACACTATCAAAGTCTTAGGTTGGTCTGCCCTCAGTCAGAGAAAATAAGGTGAAATTAAATAAAGGGGGTTGGGGATGATGGCAAACCCAGAATCACAGACTGTTAGATGTGGAAGAAACCTTGAAACAGGAAGTCATGGTTGAGGAGACCTTAAATGTCATTTTATAGATGAGGCAACCGAGGTAAGGAGAGGTTATGACGTGCCTGAAGTCATACAGATGGGAAATGGTGCATCAGGATTCAAACCTGGGTCCTTTGATTCTGAGCCTCGTATTTGAGTGGTTGGGAAAGACACCCAGCCAAATCTCCCCCCGACTCTCATTTCCACCAAACATTTGTGGATGTAACTCTTCAGACCCAGGATAGGGATGGTGTTTGGAATCTGAAATATTTTTGAGATTGTAGCAAAAGTTATTTGGGGCACCCTCTCCCATACTGATTTTTACACTCTGATGAAATAATGCTCCCAGAGTGGGGGTGAGGCAGAAGGTAGGAGAGAACCTTCAACTGATTCGGTGGTACCCAGGAAGAGCTGTGGACCATAGGGGGCAAAGTAAAGGCAGAAATTCAGAGGCAGCTGCAGGCATCATCCACGGATAGCAACAGGTCCAAAAAGGAGAGGAAAACAGCCATAATTTTAGAGAAAGAGATTGAAACCTGTTGATGTCATAGGTCAGAGTGGGGAGATAAAGACAAGGTAAACCAGGACTTGAATAACAACTCCCCGGGTTTACAGAGCTTGACCAACAAAATTCCTGTCTCATCACAGGAACTGAGAGGTGGGGAATACCATATTACTCCCATGATGTTGGTGAAGATGACACTCAGTTATGAAGTGACCCGTCCTTCCTGTCAATGCTGTAGAAAGACACTGCTTGACCTAAGTGTGGAGTGTGACCAGAACTAGCACTCTCCAGAGGATGGAGGAATTGGAGCCTGCTGGGAAAATAGCAGAGAGAAAGGGGGTATGTGGATGGGGCAGACTTAAATGCCCTAAACCTGTGCTAAGCAAATCCGCCCATGTTGAGGCCACAGCAGAAGAGATAGGATCTGCTCTTATTCCTCTAATATTTGGTTCCTGCTTCTCTCCCCCATATGACAACTTTTACCCACTGAGATCTATCACACGAAGATGGTGCCGGGGTATCTGGGGTAGGATGAAACTCGATTGTACGTTATTTCTGACTTAGTCAAAGTTTGTTGTGGCCCTCAGCTCTTCTTGGGTACTGAAGAATTAGGTGCTCTGAGGTTTGCCAAGTGCTTTCCCCATAAATCTTTGAGGGATGTAGTGTAAGTAAGAGGCCCCACCCCTTTCCCCCTCCTTTGCAGATGAGGAAACTGAGGCCCAGAGAGCGGAAGTGACTTGCTGATAGTTAGTTGCACAATCAGGAAGCTGATAAGCTAGGACACACAAAGAATTTCTGATTCTGAGGCCGGGTTCATGCCACCACTGCACACTGTCCCACCCACCCCAACCAGCTAGGCGATACAGTAGTGAAGGTCTCTAGACTTGGAGGTCAGGAAGGCCTGAGTTCAAATCTTGCTTAGATTCTTCATTTATCCTTTTTCAGCTGATGTACCCTCACCTGTACAGTGGGAATAAAAGTGACAACACTTTCCAGGATTGCTGTGATGTTAGCTGTTATGGTGGCAAAGAGAGAGCTGCAGAAACCAGATGAGGAAGATGTTTCTCAACCACTTCTCCACTGTTTCAACCTGGAGAGGGCTTCTTAAGTTTACAGAAGGCTAATTTCTCTCCCATGGGGCTGAATTAGATAGATCCTTAGAAACGAACCCAAAACTGTCCCATCCAGGCCTTTTGGTTGTGGTTTTACTAGGTAGAATGAGCTTTATAATCCCATGATGCCAGTTAAATAATCTCTCTATAAGACTATAAACTCCATGAGGGCAGAGACTGGATCTTCTTCCCTAAACTTTGCATCTCCCTTGAGTCACACAAGGGATGCTTAACAAATGCTTATTGATTTCTTTTTTTTTTTTTTTGATGAGGCAATGGGGTTAAGTGACTTGCCTAGGGTCACACAGCTGGTGAGTGTTATGTGTCTGAGGCCAGATTTGAACTTAGGTCCTCCTGACTCCAAGGCCGGAGCTCTATCCACTGAGCAATCTAGCTGCCCTAGTTTATTGAATTCTTAATATGGGGTCTTCAAACCCTAATCTTCCAAGCGATCAACTGTCTGGATGGACATTGTTGTTGAGTAACAATTGCCTCAGCAAATGACAAGCTTTCTTGATGTCTTCATAGGATGTTCGGTCTCTATAAAGATGTAAGAGTTCTTCAAATTGTGAACTGAGGAAGGGATTTTTCTAGTGGAGAGGGGGAAGATTTAGGTATATGCTAGTTTTAGTGTCTTCCAT